TGCTTTCATCAAAGATTATTAATTGTCAATTCTGAATGAATTACAAGCGTATCATTACAAGCGTATCATGTATTTAATCTCCAATAAAATAACTGAAGTTAGTATTCTGCATAATTATTTGTATGTAAATTATCTTCTATGGTTGGACATATTTCTGGGGAGAGCCCATCAATAGAGTATCACATATTTTTTGTTAACCAGTCTGTAAATGACTGATGAAGAATATTGCTCACTTATCAACATTAGCTCACAATCTGCTTGACAACATTGCCCATAAAATGTTTTAACCGATACACAGACATGTATATTCAATAGCAGCACCATTATTTTATCTTGCAAATGGCAATTTCTTGCCAACGAGTGGCTATGTATGCGAGTAAACTGTAAATGTGACCATCTATACATATATTATTTGTGTCAGGTCAGTGCTATCGGTATCATGTCATTCAGAACTACCTGCTTACATTTCTGTTATCTGGCCACTCATCCAACACATGTATACCGGTAATCTAATTTGGCTGAGTAAACTCCTACACTTGAATAGAACCAATTTAATAGAACTGCTAAACTTAAAACACAGTATAAATGAATTGAGTGACCTCAAAATGAGGTTACACGAAAGAAGTCTTGATTTTTGCTGAGGTTAGAATATTTTTCACTACATTGTTTGTTTTAGCCAAACACAAACATGCTAAGCAACTTGACAAAAATGGAGAAAATAAGAACAATCACAATACTTTTCATATTCAATTATTATGATTCAAGTAGTGAAGTGAAATATGATACTGCAACAAGGAATTAATTTATAGATACTGTAGAATACTTTATTTTCGCTGAAGGGATGATTCCGTGAAAATAAAATCCAGCGAATATACTTTTTTCCTATATTTCATATTAAACTCATCAAAATTCAGTGAAAATAAATTCCAAGCAAAACGCCCAAAAAGCCTTTTAAGCGAAAATTAATTCTAGCGAAAATAAAGTATTCCACAGTAATACATTTTTCTGATGTTTAATTTGCTTTTCTGTGTGCTATAACATAAATGATCACTATGGTTTGAAATTCCTCTTAACCATAGGTAGCAAAAATTTGTTGTAGCAAAATCATAAAAATAATCTGTCATTGGTGACTGATTAACAGAAGCCCATACAGTATGTTGTTGTAGATCCTGAAAATATGTGATTTTAGAATTGAAGAGAAAAGTGATCGAATTACAATTTAATACTGTTTCATTACATATTTCCAAATTGCTCAGTGATAAAATAAAAGTATAATCATTATGTTAATATTTTTCATGCAAACAAGCTTTACATGTGTCCTCTAACATAACTGATTTTGTAGATATTTGGGATCAAAATAGAATCCCCCCAAATCAAGTTGAGTCAGTTTGTTCAATGTTGGGAGGTCAGACTTTAAGTAAAAATAAAATTATATGTGTCTTGAGACAGAAACTAAAATGTTGCGGCCCATGATTTCCTTCATTTTTTCACTTATTTTGTTTAAATATGTGAATTTAATTTTAACAAATTCTGTATAGCAAGGTGTTTTTCAAGATCACTATATCAATGTTTCTATTGCATCACAGCAAATCTCTGCATCAATGGTGCGTCATGTTGGCCAAGAGGACATGCTTTTCATAAAGTCCTATTACAAATATGGAAGCTGCATCTTTTGTGATGGCTTTCATAAAATAAAAGAAGCATTTATCTCTTAGATATCATTTAGTTCTTGTGATGTGTTACTTGAGTTTTTTAACATGCACCGACTACATCCAACAAACATAATTTATCGTTTTTAATCAATAGGATACTTTTCTCTTAAACATCACATGTTTAGTTGTTCAAGCAGAATGCACTTTAGTTTATATTACTGAGTGAGCAGTTTCAAACCCATATGTTCTGGATGTATAGGTGAACACACTAACCACTGTGATATCCCCTGGTGAATATTACTGGATTCTTTCAAAGCAAGTGCAAAACTTGATACAGTCAAAACTGTGCTAGTGACCACCTGTCTATAGTGACAATTTTTAGGCAGTCCTAAGGCATAACATATGAGCAACCTGTGTATAAAGACCACCTGTCTATAGTGACCTCTTTTAGACAGTCCTAGAGCATAACATATGAAAAACCTGTGTATAAAGACCACCTGTCTATA